ACCGGCGGCTGGAGATACCTGCAGCGCATCTCCTCTGATACTGGCTGTCCCTAATGAGGAGTTTCTGTTTTCCAAAGATTCCAAGATTTCAGTTTTCAAAGGCTCCGTGCAGGCAGGTCGGGGCAGATTTTCAGAGGAGTCAGCACCCAGCACGGCAGGCTGAGCCCTTCGAAGAATCCGGGGCCCGGAAAAAAGCACAACTTTTGGAAAGCACCCAAAAAATGAAGGGAGCCCCGCTCAGCTCCGGGCTGCTGGCGGGCAGGAGGTTGGGACAGGGGCTGTGAAGCAGGGCTGTGTTCTGTCCACCCCTGCACATCCCACCGGCTCGGCCTTCCTGGAGCGCCGCTGGGGAACCCCTGCAGCTGCGGCGGCAGCGGGATGGAGCCGCTCACCGGCTTTGAATGCAGCTTCAAAGGAGAAACAGCCAGAAAATGGATATTTCAGTTCAGTGGCTGAGTCAGAAGGTTGGGCTGGGAGGGAGGCTGGGGGGGATCCGCCTTCTGTTGGAACCTCTCCAAAACCCCTTTGGGAAGCAGAAGCCCCGAGTTTCGTTTCTGGTTAGCCTGGAATACTGTCCTCAATCTCAAACAGGCTGTTTTGATTTTTATCTCCTTTTAACTTCTTCACAAAAGAAGCCCTTTTTCTTTTTCCTTTTCCTTTTCTTTTTCCTTTTCCTTTTCTTTTTCCTTTCCTTTTCCATTTTCTTTTCCCTTTTCTCTTTTTCTCTTTTCTTTTTCTTTTTCCTTTTTCCTTTTCTTTTTCCTTTTATCTTTTTTTTCCCCTTCCCTTTCTTTCTCCTTCTTTCCCTTTCTTTCCCTTTCTTTCTTTTCTTTATCAGGTGAATAATGGCTTCAACTTGAAAAATTAACAGTTTTATTTGGCAGACGTCACAATGGAATCTTTTGACGTTTGGAGAAATATTGCACCATTTTTTCCAGCCCAACCTGCTTGCTTAACGTCAGCCAAATCTGCAGATAGCTCTCAGCCCTCCTGGAATCCACTGTTCCCTGACAGAGCTGCTGCTTCTACTTGAGAAATGCCATTCTGTTTTGTTTTGGAGCTCACGCCAGCGGCTGCAGCATCTCATTGTGTGCTTGTGGGTGCTGCTCAGGCTGCTGATGGTGGGATGTGAAGCCTTGCATCTCCATTGTAGCCCTGTACCTGCGCACCGGTGCAACAGCGGGCACTGCTTTGGGCCAGACTTGGTTGGTGAAACATGCGCAAGAAAAGGCCTTGATGTGGGGCCCCAGTGAGCCCTGCAATCACAGCACCCAGCCCTTGCTGGCCTCCGGGTGTAGCTGGACCTCAAAGCAGCAGATAAAGTGTGGGATGAGGGTGCATCTTTTCTGCTGTGTCTTCTTTCTAGCACGTGTGTGTGTGTGCTTAGCCAAGGGACACAAGGCGTTTGGATTTTTCTAGCAGGTATATTGTATTGCTTATGAATTGCTGACCGTTTGGAAGTGTTTTAGGGTTCTTTGTGAACCTGACAACAGCCTTTTAGTTGTGAGTATTAGCAGTGGCGGTGCTTGAGGTGTGAAAATAGCACCTGCTGATGGAGTATTCTTTATTCCTTTTAGGAGATCTCCTGCAACGAGTCAGCCACCTGTCTCCAGAGTGAACCTGCAAGGTATGTGTGGGTCCTCAGCAATCACCTGCCAGCAGAGAGGAAGGTTTATTGCACATGGGTTTACTGGTGGCTGGTCCTCTGCTCCCCCAGCCCCGTGTAGTGCTGAGCTCCTTCTGGGTTTCTCCTGCAAAACTGACGCAGGAGCACCGCCAGGCTGAGGTTGCTGCTGTTTAAATGGTTTGGGGTTTGTGTTTACTCTCGTGTTAGCATAAGGTAGAACATGATTTTGGTTTGATAGTCATGGCCACAGTGACTGCAATTCCTCCGAGTCCCTGTGCAGAGCAGGCCTGGGCAAGCAGCAGCCTACAGCCTCCAACAGGCTCAGGCACAGCTGTAGTTTTTATCCTGTTTATTTCAGTTTGCTTGCATGTGATCTATGTAAAACTGCGATCTCAGAAACCTCTCTCGGGTGAAACTCCCTTGGCTTTTGTTAGGCTGCCCTAGAACGGCGTATTTTTCCTTTCAACGTTTGTTTGCAGTCTTTTGAAATACCACATTTAAGCAACTGACTGGGAGCAAAGTCGGTCGCTGCTCACCTCACGCTCGTCCCCTCGCTGGGTCGGTGGCTGCAGCACGCAGCTCCACCATGGGGGTGAATGGCACTGAGGGGAGCTCTGCACTGCCAGCCCGAGAAGCATGCTGCCTGCGGGTGTGCATGCTGTGCTGTAGCCTTGGGGGGACCCTCTTTGGATGAGCGTTGGCCCTCCTGGCACTGATGAAGTTGTTACCCCCCCGGGGGAGGAGGTGTGGTTGGTTGGAGGAGTGCTGGTGTGTAAGGTGTGATCTCGGCCTCTCGTCTATGCTAGGAGGACTGAGTAAAGCCACGTTATTGCAGCGTGCACAGCCTGGGTAACTCTCATTTCCTTTCACACTGTGTGTTATTTACTGTCTGGGGACGTGAACAGTCCGGGAGATTTCCGGCTTGGATTCCTCAAAACTTGTTGGTGGAATGTGGAGATGGTGGCTGCAGAGAGAGCAGCGATGGCGTGAAGGTCCTCCTGCACGCTGCCCAGGGAGCAGCAGCAGAGCTGGGCTGGCAGGAGTGCACACAGCACTTCTTCCAGCACTGCTCTGAGCGAGACTTTGCTTTTCTGGCCCATGTGAAAGGATCCATGGAACATTTCATAAGCTTTGCATAGATCTGTTTATATAGCTTACAGAATCTGATAGCCGGGAGATAATTCCCTTCCAGGAACTTTTAGATGAATTTTCTTAATGCTTGCTGTGGAAACAATTGCTTTCCACTTCTTAACACTTTGTGGACATGGAGGAAACGATGCTATTGCACAGCGCTTCCAGCACGAGCAGAGGGATGCCGGGTACCCCACAGGTAACCCCACAGGTAACCCCACAGGTAACCCCAGCTCCTGATGCCTGGAGCCCACAGCCACTCCAGTTCCCTTTCTGACTGAGGGGCTGGTGCTTGCAGCTGCACAGCAGGCTTGTGTTGCTCTGGAGGACCCAGAAGGAGACAGCAACTGATGGGAAGCCCACTGTCAACGTCATGAGCTGAGCCCTGGTGCTCCTGACTCACAGTTTTAGTGTTTCTGTGCTGTGCGGATAGGTGAGTAACTGAAGTACATTGCGACAGTTTGCAGGCAGCAGTGATAAGAAACATGCTTGAGGTTGATAGGAAATGGTGTTATTTCCTGCACAAGGAAGCACGGCCGCGTGCTGGGGGTTGTGGGGCTGCTCTCTCCTCCCACTACTGGTTTTCTTCTGGGGACTGCCTGCCTTCATCCCTTACAGCCACTGCCGTGCTTTTCACCTTGTTCAGAGAACAAGGATGCTTCCTAAGGAAGATGCCATTTCAGTGCAGAAAGAGCAAAGGGGTTCAGGGTGTTTCTTTCAGTGTGTTGATCCAGGATTTATGAGTGGAAGGAGGGATGTTCCCAGCAGCCCGTCTCGCTGTGCCTGAAGGGATGCTGTGCCTTCCCTGCAAGTTTTGGAGAAGGAAGTGGTGAGGTTTAGATTGAGGCCACACCGTATTGCTCCCTTCTAGATAGAAGGACATGTCTTAACTGAAATGTGTTACATTCTCTGGATGGGTTCACCAGCAAAGCTCAGCGTTTGATTTTAGCTCTCCCATGTCACACATTGATTCATAGATGCAGCACCACAAGCGATTGGCATCGCTGTGTGCACCCTGCGTGTGCCTCCTCTTGTCTGTCGTTAGCAGAGTGATTTATATCCTGTTACGAGAAGTGCAGGACTCGGGGTTTAAAGCAAACCAGCGTGCATTCATAGAATTACCCTGGGGGGACACAAACTGTGCTCAGCTTCGTACTGCAAGTAATGCACGCCAGCTGGTTGGTCCAGCAGAGCCTTAGGGGTTTGTCAGTCGTTTGCAACACAGAGGAGCCAAATCTGGTGTCCGTGTGCTGCTGAGGAGTTGCATCACACGGGACCCAGGCCCATGGCGAAACGGATGGTCTGTGCTGGGTGATGAAATTCTTCTTCTTGCTTTCATTTTCTTGAAATCGTGAACAATTCTGGTCAGGCTCTTGGTGGGGCAGAGCGGTTCCCAAGCCCACACTGATGTCACTGGAGGTTTCAGAGCTTTCTTAACCTTATAACCAAGCCATAAAAGGAAGAGGGATATGCATTGGACATCCTGTGTTTTGTCCTTGGTATCAGCTTAAGTAAACCTGGCAGATTTTTCCTGTTATTTTGTTATAACTGCAGATCACAGGAACAAACAAAAGTGCTTGTGTGAGTTACCTAAGGAACCTTTGCATGGAAATATGAAGCGGCAGCAAAAAGTGCATCAATCCTTAATTAGCTCCTGTGCTTTGCAGCTGGGCAGGATGATGGGACTGGTTGGGATCGTGAGGTTCGTGGCTGTGCAAAGTGCTGCAGAGCACGGTTATGATGGTTTGTGTTTGGAACAGGTGCTGCCCCACCTCCTTTTCCACTGTCACAGAAATTAGCAATAGAAAAGCAGCGCTGTGCTCATCTCTGCAACGTTCCCTTCCCATGTGCTTCTCTTTTCTCTTTTAACGTGACCTCTGCTGCAGTCATTTTGTTTGATCTCAGTGCTCCTCAGATCTCAGCTCCAACCCTCGGCTGCTCTTTTCAGTTCACCACCCTGGGCACTCATGAGGGGTCTTCAGCTCCATCCATTCAACTGATAAAACCCATGCCCAGCAACAGGTCTGGCAGCCCCTGCTTGGTTCTGTTCCTTCCTCTGAGCTTGTTTTTCTGACTGAGCCTTATTCCCTCCCAGCTAAGCCATCCATGCCTCATTCAGCCTTCAGGAGTAAAGCTGGCCAATGGGACCCGACCCGTGAGCACCAGGCATCTCTGCACACTGGTTCCCCAATGGGTCACTGCACCAATGTGCTGCTGGCAGCACTGCAGAGCTCCTGCTGCTGCCCCTCAGCTCTGCATAATTACAGCACGAGCTCACCATTAATTACCTAGCAATGCAATACATCATTAGGTATATCACCGATCAGCTTTGCAACCTGAGGCTTTGGGGGGGTGGCACTTTGGGCTGTGTCACACACAGAGGCATCTCGGGGCTCGTGGGATTAAAGCTCTGTTACAGTTCCTCTCTGGGGGTGGGAGGGAGAGCTCGGTATTCTTTTTGCTTGTGCCTTAGCCTCTGCCTTCCTGCCCATCCGCACGTTTGTCTGCACTGCTCGCATGCCTTTACACGAACCCAAAGCTCGTACTCGCTCATTTTTCATGTGGGTGTAAGATGTACACAGACTCGTGCGCGAAGGTTTGTATAAAGCATAAACAAAGGACTGGATAACACCAGTGCCTGTGCGACTGAGAGTCCCGGCTCCTGCAGGAGGTACCAGGTGTACCAGGTCCCGCTCTGCAGCCACCCATCAGCTCCACGCAGTCAGATGGGGCTTTGCTCTCGCGAGGAGCTGGCGCTGCGCAGGTACAAGAGAGATGATTCATGCTGAGGTCCTGTTGGCGTGCCTTGGGCTGCCAGCAGTGAGGACTGCAGCATCCCGTGGTTTTCGGGTGGCTGGGATGAGTTGGTGCTGTGATTCTGACAGGGAGCCACGCAGCACCGTGGAGCTGAGCTGAGAGCTGCGTGTGCATAGCAGCATGGTGCTGGAAGCTTGTCCCTAAACAGGACTCCCTGCGCACTATTCTGAATGCACTGCCATGATGATGCTAGCTTAGCAACTGTAGAATAAATCAGGTGGATGGCAGCTCGTGACGTGACCGAGCGGTGCTGAGGGCTGTAGATCGTGAAGCGATTCCTGCTGCTTGGAGAAAGCAGAGGTGTTTCAGAGTGACCCGGGAAGGTTCCCTGCAGCAGAGGAGCGGTGAGCGCCCTCGGAGCGCGTTGGGACAGCCGGCACCGCTCCTGCTCTTCCCGGGCAGTTCGTTCCCACGCAGTCCGTTTCGTGTGTTGCTCCTGCCTGCGAACACACACCCCCTGAAAGTTGGACTCATGCATCTTAGTAAGTATTTCAGTTATGCTATTGACGTCAATGCAGTCATTAAATAGATTGCCGGCCCTCCCATCGGCAAACCTGTGCCAAAGACCTAGAGGCAGGCACATTTTAAAAGAAGAACATCAGGTTTTCTTTTAGCAATTGGAGAGAATGAGGGAAAAGTTTTTCCGAAGTCGCTGGGCTTTGCGATTCTGAGGCTTCTTCTTTTTCCCTTCTCTTCTGAAGCCTCCGTTGGTGCGCAGATAATGGCCCCGTTTTATTTAACACACCGTTGTGCCCCCGCACACGTAAACAACTCCAAATGAGGCCAAAGAGTGATTTTTTGGGATCAGCTCCGGCTGAAAAGTGACACCCGCTTTAGGTCTCCCGGCTAGATTTATTTGTAGATCAAGTAGCAGAAGGTATCCGGGCAAACCTGCTTAGCCTTTGACTCCAGAAATTCTGAGAGGATAGATTTCATGACATCTATATAAGAAAATAGCCCTCGTTTCTCCTCGGCAGGCTCTGAAGACACACAAGCCGATTGCGGCTCCATAGCAACAGATGAAAACTGTTTTCCCCACTGCCCCACCTGCGAGTGTCACATGAAGATGCTCCACGTGCTGCTGCCATCAGCAGCCTGTCACTCGGGGCAGCTGCCGCCCGCGGTGCCGGCGGGGCTCCCCGTGCTCACACACCCCTGCGTGCGGGGCGGTCCCACTCCTGCCCACATCCCACCTGCCCCGGGTCAGGCGGGGGCTCCGAAGGGGCTTTGTGTATGGGGTGTCCTCACACGGGTGCGGGGATCCTTGGACGGGATAGCAGGTACGTCGGCAGCTGCGTGTTTGTGAAGATGAGGGGCCAAAGCACTGCTTTGTTGGCTGAGGTTGTCATTTCTCGCCATGCTCGGCGCTGGTGGGGCTGCAGCTCGGTGCTGTGCTCAGCTCCGGGCCGTTCGCTCCCAGTGGGGCACAGTGAGGTGGGGGCTGCAGTGTCGTTCTTGGGCAGAGGAGGCTCAGGGGAGACCTCACTGCTCCCCACGGCTCCTCAGCCTCTGCTGCCAGGGAACAGCCACAGGATGAGAGGTGACGGCCTCACGCTGTGCAGGGCAGGGGCAGATGGGCTGCTGGGGGAAATTTCTTCTCCAAAGAGCGCTCAGCACCGCACAGCTGCCCAAGGATGGGGGTCAGCATCCGTGGGGGTGTTCAGAGCTGTGGGGAGGGGGCACTGAGGGCAGTGGGCGTAGGGTGGGCTGGGGGAGCTGAAAGGGCTTTTCCATCCTGAACGGCTCTGTGGTTCTGTGATTTCACTGATGATCCCACACCCTGCTATGTAGCATAAACCCATCCAAACAGTCATAGGTTATTAAAAGGGCATCTCGCTGATGGATGCTTTCTTTGTGAACGATCCAGGCAACTGCCAGCCCAAGGTGGCAATGAGGAGATCTCCCCAGTGGTGCTTTCATTTGTCCCCGTGTTCACTCTGCTCTTTAAAGGCAGGTCAAGCCCCGGGAGCCCTGTGCTGCTTTACTCAGCTCCCATTCACGCGGGATTGCTTAAGGCCTCTGTGGAGACAATAAGACTTTGCCATCGCTAATCTCAGAGTTGATAAAATCTGTGTTTCTTTTGTTTTCTGTATAGAACGATAATAGTTGGTGTGGGTGCGATTTTGACATCGCAGCCTTCAACGTACTGAATCAGTTCCATATGAGTTTGAGAAATATGTACTTGGACTGTAAAAAAAAAAAAGAAAAAAGAAAGAAAGAAAGAAAAAAGAAGAAAGCAAAACAAACAAAAGCACCCAAACCAAACTTCTGGCAGGCGGAGCTGTTTGTTAGGTTGCGGGGCAGTGCATGCCTTAGCGATGAGCAGGGCTCTTCATTGTCCCACCGAGCTGAGCCCCTTCGGCTTCCATGTCAGCAGCATTTTGCAGCTAGTGAGAGCTGCCATGGGCTCCTGACAGCACCCACGGCTCGTCCCCCCGCAGCTCTATATAAGCCTCTTCTTCCTCCCCCGAGGCTGAGCTCTGTGCTGCGGCATTGTGTCCGGACACAGCTGACCATGGGAGTGTGAGAGGCTGCATCTCTGTGCAGGGCTGTTCCCAGGTTAGTGCCCTGCACGACTCCCAGCAGCAGCAGCAGCCCGTCCTTGGCCAGTCCCCATGTTCACAGCGTTGTCCTGTCGGCTCTGATCCCTGCTGTCAGCCGCTGTGCCGTCGTGTTTGGAGAAGTGAGTATCTTTGTTGTGAACTCTTTGTTGGCGGCTGAATTTCGGGTCGTGGCTGGGCAGGGGCTCCCACTGAGCGCATCACGGCTGGTCCAGGGGTGGGAGCATGGAAGGAGGGTGATGGCAGCCCTGGTGGGCAGCAGGTGATGTGCAGGGGGTGATGAGCGCCCATCGCCCCAGCAGGGCTACGATCTGTGTGCTTAGCTCTACAGTTACAGGTTAACAACCACAGGGGGTAAAAATGGCTCTTGAAATCAACATGTATTCTGGGTAGAGCTAAAAGAAGGAGCGGAGGATTGCTGATGCTAAAGGATGTTGTGCTTACTTGTGTAAGGGTGATGTCCTGGTGCAGCTGGTAAAGCTGTTCTGTGTAATATTGCTTCCTCTGTGCAAAGTGTCCGTAAGTGACAGCCTAAAGTGCTGTGTAATCGGGGTTCTTTTTTGGCAGAAAGGAAACAACTGTTAATTATTTATGGTTATTAATAAAAGATGCTCGGTCTTTGCTTGCTGGTAGAGTAGGTGTGCTTGCAGAGATTTAAGAGCACGCTTTAAAAATCATCTGAATAAGTCCCGATGGGGTATATTTTCATGTCCAAAGGTGTTGTTGATTGACTTGGTTGTGCATTCAGGCATTTAATCAAAACAAAAAGCAGCCATAAAAGGAGCCCACAGAATCTGGCGCTGCATTGATTCCGCAGCTGATGTCTTTTGCTTTGCATACAGCACTGTGTGTGCGGCTCAGAGCCTCCTGCCATGGGATGGGGTGGGGGCCAGGGCCAAGGCCAGGCACCTGGTGATGGGGTTTTGGTGTGGGGTTTTGGTGCTGGGCTTTGATGTGCACCAGGAGCAGTGGCAGTTACTGAGCAGTGAATCAAATGTCTTTAAAAGCTGTGCTTTTGGAAGTGGACGCTCCGGTCTAAGTATCCTGCTGTCAGTGTATGCCTCCAGGAGGCAATTAAACATCTGCACGTATGAAAGCTCCCCAACCCCATCTCCACGCTCTGCAAAACTTTCTTACGTCGCCGTCATTGCACGGAGCCCAGAGGATGGATGGCAGCTGTGCAGGGAGGTTGCTGTGCACTCAGCACGTTGTGGTCACCCCAGTGTTTTAATTCTCTGAATGCTGTCTGTGTGATGGAAGCAGGGCACAGCACACGGGCTGTGCTTACGTTTGTGATGTGCTTTCCCTCTTCCCAGAGCTGCTTCTGGATGAAGAGAAATCCAGACACGACTTTCCAGCCCCACCGGCGTGGTTCCTGTGTTAGCAGTGGTGCTTTACGGGCCGTGGTCCGCATCCAGATCCTCCTCCAACACACGTGTTGGGCCTTCACCTTTGTTCGAGTTCTTTGGGCAGGGTATTTCCCGAAATTCCTGTTGTGAGAATGCCACGAGCTGTTAGCAGCTTCCTGGGTTTCAGCTTTATTGCGTGAAGCTCTGAAGTATTTCCATCTATGTGCAGTGGGAACGTCCTCCCCAGGTACGAGCCAAAGATCTGCTAATCACACTTTATAGATGAGGAACCAGGAGAGATGAAGACGGGAAGCGATGGTCCTCGCACCGCATTTTTCAGCAGCAGTGCTTGTTCTGAGCCTGCCTTTGTCACACATCCAAATGCGGTCAATTCAGTGTGCTGCTAGAATGCCTTTTATTGCAAATTGCCTTAAATGGAAAGCCCCGGGCAGCTGAAAATCAGATGTTTCGCAGAAATGGTGTGGATTTCACTGAACTTATTCGACAGAATTAATTACTTCAGAGAAGGGCGGTTAGTTGGAGCGCTGAGACTTTGGCCAAGGTGAACATGAGGTGCCTCTTGTGCAAGAGATCCTGAAAGGTGCCATGGGGCGTGAGACTTAAAGAGGAGCCACCGCAGTAATTTGCAGTAGGACAACCCGTATCTGACCTTCAGTGGGGAGCATTTTGATTCCCACGTCCATTTCAGCTGATATTTTCACCAAGGTTGTTAATAAGCGTGCCGCGCATCTAGCGGGCATTTTGATTTCCCTGAATCGGGTTCAAGGTGCAGAAAGAAGTATATTTTGAAGGCCTTAAGTAAATACATTTTGAAGGCCTTAAATAATACGTTGTGGCAGCGGGGGGCTCCGTGCAGTGACTGTGGGGATGTGACCTGCCCTCCCAGCCTGCTGGGGCTCATCCTCTGCCTGTACCATGTTCTGGTGGCTGGGCCTTCAGACCACCACCCTTGGGGTAAAGATTTCTCCCTAAAATCCAAACTAAATGTCCCCTCTGTAAGAGCTGGTGGCCAGGGTGTGATGTCCCTGGCTTGGAGTTGACACAGAGTTGACACGGTGCAGCTCGGCACGTGAAGCCATTAATATGGAATATTAAAAGCTGTCAAAACAAATGATGCCGGTTCGTAGGATACTGGCATCTCCCTCTTCCTCCCCACCCTTTTACCCGTGGGACTTCATCTGTGATTTTAAACAGATTATTTTAAAGGGCTGTACGTGCGGTTTGGTAAACACGCAGTGCACTGAGTCACAGCCCCGAGCAGCTGTTGGCTGGGGTAAGTCAGTGCAAACGGTTGGTGCAGTGGAGGGTCCAGCTCTGCCTTCAGCTGCTGCAGGTCTGAAGACTTCAGTTCTGTGGTATGGGGCATTTGCAGAGTTAATGTCTGGATGTGTTCGCCCTGAATCCGTAAGTTCAGGGCATCGCCACTGAGCCGCTGGAGTGACGTTGGCCCGACAGTGAGATATCCTCGTTTCCAGAAGCTGGAGGATCACAGATGAAGTAACATCTTCTTGAATTGCATGTGCTTCCAGATCGCTCAAGCAGTTTCTGCAGGTTCTGCTCTGTGAGCAGCCCACGGTCTGCACTGAGCAATCCCACGGTGCTGCTGAGTACAGTGGCAGATGGGCTGATAGGGCTTACTCACAGTATCACTTCAGCCCCAAATATGTCAGAACAGGTCACTTTTTACAACGCTCTGCACACCCGAGTGGCTCTGCTCAATGCACAGTGCCACGTCCGTGTCTTTCAGTAAGGTGGTGGTCACATCCCTTGGTTTGGAGAGGCTGAATAAGGGCCAGAGGTTCAGAGAAGGTAAATCAGCGAGGTAGATTTCATTACCCTTTGAGTATGTGACGTATCTGTTGTAGGAAAACAGATCAAAATTCCAAAATAAATCAGTTTTTTAAGCTTCCATCATCAAAGATAGGTCACAAGAAATCTGTTTAATTGTATTTTTTAATTAATATGATTTGAATGTCTGGCATGGTGGCTGAAACCATAAGGGGTGACCTCATGGCCAGTCTCTGCAAGGCTGAGCGCAGGCAGTGCGGGCACAGAGGTTCACGTGTGTCCTAAAGAGCTCCTATGAGTTGTGTCTGAGTGCCTTCAGGAGCCACGTTCTTCTTTCCTATTGAAGACCTTGAGGAAACCCAACTGAGACACAAGGGAGGACACCTGGATGTGAGACTGTGACCTTTTCAGAGCCGAGGGATCTGATTTAAGCAGGTCTCACCTCTTAGCAGCAACACGCTGTGCAGCGCTGCGGGGACTTTGGTGGCTTTGTTCTGACCCTCATTTTAAACACCCTGAGCAATTCTCCTCTTGAAGAGCTAGGTTTATTAATTAATTCTG